CCATGGCATCACAGCTCACAGCAACCTCCAACTCCTGGGCTCAAGCGATTCTCCTGCTTCTGCCTTCCAAGTAGCTGAGACTACAGGTAGGTGCCACAACGCCAAGTTATTTTTTGGTGACAGCCATCATTGTTGTTTGGCAGGCCCGGGCTGGATTCCAACCCGCTAGTTCAGGTGTATGTGGCTGGTGCCTTAGCCGCTTGAACCACAGGTGCCGAGCCGTAAGTATATACTTTTAATAGTATCTGTCTTCTGTTCCTGTAAGTTTACTATTAACATATAGCACATTAAACTATTTAAAACAGGGAATTAAAACATTCTGTGGACTGGGCACAGTGGCTCACACTTGTAATCCCAGCCCTTTGGGAGGCCAAGGTGGGAGGATCTTTTGAGGCCAGGAATTCAAGACAGCCTAGCCAATACAATGAGAACCCCATCTCTATTAAAGATAGGAAAAATTAGTCAGATGTAATGGCACATACCCATAATCCTAGCAACTTGGGATAATAAGGTGAGAGAATTCCTTGAGCCCAGGAGTTTGAGGCTGCAGTGAGCTACAATCATGCCACTGCATTCCAGTCTGGGCAACAGAACAAGACCCTGTCTCTTAAAAAAAAAAAAAATTTAGGCCTAGTGTGGTGACTTACTCCTATAATCCTAGCACTCTTGGATGCCAAGATGAGTAGATCTCCTGAGCTCAAAAGTTAGAGACCAGCCTGAGCAAGAGCAAAACCCTATTTCTACCAAAACAGCAAAACTAGCTAGGCATTGTGGTGAGCACCTGTAGTCCCAGCTACTTGGGAGGCTGAGGCCAGAGGATTGCACAAGCCTAAAGATTGAGGTTGCTATGAGCAATGATGACACCACAATACTCTACCTAAAGCAAGAGTGAGACTCTGCCTAAAAAAAAAAAAAAAATTTCTGTGAGCCCCTAAAGTATCCTGGGCCCCTGACTATAGCGCTTGCCCTCCCCCTCCCACCAAATGCTGTTCCTCCTCAATGCTCCCTATCTTAGTACCTGGCAGAGCCATCCATCTACCTTTCCCAGTCTGAAACCTCAACTTCATCCTCAGTTTTCCCTCTTCCCACATGTGTAATCAATGCAAACATTTTCCACTCATAAATCCCCCCCCCTTTTTTTTTAAGAGACAGAGTCTTATTTTGTTGCCTGCAGTAGAGTGCCATGGCGTCACAGCTCACAGCAACCTCCAGCTCTTGAGCTTAGGTGATTGATTCTCTTGCCTCAGCCTCCCAAGTAGCTGGGACTATCGGCGCCCATCACAATGTCCAGCTATCTTTTGTTGCAATTTGGCCAGGCCGGGTTTGAACCCGCCACCCTCAGTATATGGGCCAGCACCCTACTCACTGAGCCACAGACGCCACCCAAATCCCTTTCTTTTTTTTGACAGAGTGAGTGAGACTCTGTCAACCCCAGGTAGAATGCAGTGGCACCATCATAGCTCACTACAACTTCAAGCTCCTGGGCTCAATCAATACTCTTGTCTCAGCCTTCCAAGTAGCTAGACTTACTGGTGCACACACAATACCCGGCTAATTTCTTTTCTTTTTCTTTTTTTTTTTTTGAGACAGAGTCTCAATATGTTGCCCTTGGTAGAGTGCCGTGGCGTCACAGCTCACAGCAACCTCAAACTCTTGGGCTTAAGCAATTCTCTTGCCTCAGCCTCCCAAGTAGCTGGGACTACAGGCACCTGCCACAATGCCCAGCTATTTTTTTGGTTGCAGTTGTCATTGTTGTTTAGCAGGCCTGGGCTGGGCTCAAACGCGCCGCTTTGGTGTATGTGGCCAGTGTTCTACTCACTGAGCTACGGGTACCAAGCCATCATTTTTTTATTTTTAATAGAGACAGGGTCTCATTTTTGTTTAGGCTGGTATCAAACTCCTGACCTCAAAGCAATCTTCCTGCTTCAGAGTGCTAGGATTACAGGTGTGAGGCTCCATGCCCAGCCTTAAGTATCTCTCAAAACCACCTATTCCTTCCTCTCATACCCACTCTTCTAACACCCAAGTCCAGACCACAATCCTTATTACCTTCAATAGGTTTCTCACAAGTTTCTCCAGCTCCAGTCTCTCCTCCTCCAATGGATTTTCTACACTGTTGTTACCTCCTCTCATCCCTACTTAACTTAAAACACTTCAAAAGCTCTTCAGTGTCCTTAAAAGTCCAGTCTATCAAGCATGGATTATAAAAGGCCCTCCATCACACCCCATCTCACCTCTCACCACCACTTCCCAACTGATCCAGCCCATACTAAACCCTTTTCAGGACCCACATATTCTCTTCCTGTCAGGCTTCCAAAGGTGCTATTCCCTCAATCTAAATATTTCCCATTCCCAACTGACCCTTCATATCCTTCAGGACTGAATCATGTCCCTCCAATGCAGGGCTTTCCCAGCTTCCAGACTGTTAAACATCCTGCTGCATACTCCCACCCCAACTCCCAACTCCACTTATGTCATATAGTTATAAGGGCCAACTTGAACAAATCCTGAATGAAAATAGTCCCAGAGGACCACAGTCCATTTTGTTTTATAATAGACAAAAGTCTCACTCCGTTGCCCAGGCTACAGTGCTCTGGTATCAGTCTAGTCACAGCAACCTCAAACTCCTCAGTTCAAGTGATCCTCCTGCCTCAGACTTCTGAGTAGCTGGGATTACAGGTGCCAGCCATGACACCTGGCTAATTTTTCTATTTTTAGTAGAAATGGGGTTTTACTCTTGTTCAGGCTAGTCTCGACCTCCTGAACTCAAGCAATCCACCCACCTCAGTATCCCAGAGTACTAGAATTACAGGTTTGAGCCACCACATCTGGCTATGTTCCATTCTGTAAAGCTCAAAAAAAAAAAGAGAGAGAGAGAGGGTGGCATTTATGGCTCAGTGAGTAGGGTGCCAACCACATATACCAAGGGTGGCAGGTTCAAACCTGGCTCCAGCCAAACTGCAA